CCTAATGCAAATTCCTGACTTGTTTACAGAATAACAATAAAACGTTATAAGTTTAAGATTGGAGGCCATGAAGAGACAGCTAAGAAAGTTGTTTGGGGGTCTCTCTCTCTCTCACTCTCTTTTCCTGAATTCAGTTTCCCCTTAAACTTGACAAAGTGGAACAAAAATTCACCCTTGTCTTGGTCATTCTTCTGAAACAAAGGGTCTATTCTCTCTTTTAATGCATGTAGAACTTCCATTAAGGTTGACCGTAAGCTCTTGCATGGGATGAAAAAAGAAATAGCCCTCAAATCTTTTCTTTACCCTGGTATTATTTTTAAAGGACAAACAATAAGAACATAGTTTCACATAGTGTTATAGAAACCCTTGCTGAGGAGACACAGCCTTTAAGGCCCAGTGGCCTGTAAACATTCTGGATTTTATGTCATCCTAATACATTCTTTTCTATAAGATTATCCTAGTAAGCATCTTAAGAGAAGTATCTGCAAGAAAACAAATTACTTAACTACTTAAAACAAATCAAGAAAATTCTTGCAGATATTAAAATTTTTTTTCACCCAATCAGATATTAACCTTTGCACTTCATATAGTGACACTATTACTGACTGGAAAACAGGAAACATAACTGGTAAAAGGAAAACTGGCAATCTGTTTTCTCTACAGTAGAGTTTGTGTGTTTGGACATGTAACCACATATGCACTGGAGCCCAAACTGGGCTAATGGCTAAAATCGTATTTTAATGTTAAATGTGATTCATGTAACAGAATACAGAAGTATTTCAAATATAAGCACAGGTAGCCAAACCCCAGATGCTTGTGTCTTCCTTAGAAAGATTTTTGTAGAAATAGACTCTTGCCATAAAATAGGACAAGAAAGCATTTGATGAAAGTCTACCCATATTTTTGTTCATGATTTTCCTTGTATTTATCATGGCTGGTGCTTGGATAGGCTTATTATCCTGGGGTTTCTTCTTAAACAGCTCTGTCTTTTTGTGTCAGAATGTATGTGATTTCTGTCTGTAAACTCTAAAGTACTTGCCAAATTTTAACAGAAAAGTAATCTCTGACACAGATCATGATTGATAAACTATTTCGGAATAACCAGGCTCGTGAGTGAAGATCGTAGGAGGCAGGTGCCTCGCTTAACTGAATAGGTTTGGGAGGGAGGAATTAAAGGGCAGGGGCAGTTCACACTTTGGTTAAACTCTAGCAACTAAAATTTCTACCCTGGTAAAATTTAGAAGTTCAAGGAATAGCACTGCCATGATATTAATGACCTTTGGGGGCATATAGAGTTCAGAGTTCATTTTCTATTTACAACATCCCTTGCTGCTCCACCTCTTACCCTTACCCTTCCCTCCTCCCCTCCAAAAAAGCAATTATTTAGAGCATTGTGACATTCAGCCTGGCTAATTTTTATACAAAAAAATAGAGTCAGTGGAAAATATAGCAGTTACGTATTGGTAACGGATAAAACTAGGGATGCCCAATGTGGGGAGAGGGTATCTCCTGAGCAGTTCAAAGTTCATTCTTTGTTCACATATAATGAAAAGTCTTCAGTTATCAGGTATTTAAACCCAAATCAGCAGTTCCATATCCGTAACCTGAGCTGAGTGTTCCTCCATCTAATGGCCATGCTGCTGTCGTTTGCAGTGAGTTGGGTGACACTCGATTTGTACTCCGAGACGGGAACAGATGGGCTTTCATTGTGAGACTCCGCCTGTATGCAAATGTGAACGGAGTTTCACCCGATCCCAGGGTCTGACCTGACCGTGCACATGCATTTACTCAACGTGGCTCAGCCTGGGGGGGTGGCGAAGGGGGAATAAAAAATGGCAATCGGATAGTACCAGCGGCAGGTCAAGTTTACCATCCGTCTTTCAGCGGGACTGAGATGGCAACACAGTTATTTAGTTTCAGTGTTGATGTGCATTGCAATAAACTCCATCATTTCACCTGTTTATGAACCCAGCCTCATATGAGATCTCTGTGAAATCAAACAAAGCTGGCAATCAACTCTCTTGTTTCCAGCAGAATAGGGGATTATGGACTTTTTTTTTTTAAAGCATCTTTAATTGTTCCCCTGCCTTACATACATAAATCAATATTTTTTCTCTAGCCCTTTTATTTCTCACATTGAAATTATTATTTTCTGATTTGGAGGAAACAAAATACATTTTCCCCAAAAGCTTTTTGTTTCAAATTAAGAAGTATGATCATTAATGTCAGAATAAACAACCAGCATTTTAGATGTCGATTAACTGTTTTGCATGTACATAGCAATGTACAGTCTCTAATAAATCTTACAATTAAATGTGCAGCCCTTCATTAGAGGGAAAATATGCACAGCTGGAATCATACACATTCTATTGACAGAGAAAAATTTCGTTTCATTTGTAATTTTTCACATTGGGAAAGAATGAGAGATGAATTGGAACCACAATTGTTTCTGTAACTGGGGAGTTTTTCTTCACATGTACAGAAGGACAACAAACCAGTGTCTCTGACTTCGGGGTCCAACAGCAGTGATTTGCCTCAATTTTCTTCTCTCATGAAAGTAAATTTCTCTTGGGAAACATATAAGCCTTTGGCTAGAAAACCCTTAGGACAGACACCCCAAACTGTAACAAATAACGAATTGATGCATTTCTTCAGTACATCTGTTCATTAAGGGGTTCTGTTAACTGATGTCTGGAACTGGCATAAAAGAAAGAGTTGCTAAGAATATAGTGAAAGTTGGTGCGTGCAGCAGAAACTGCTTCTGATAAAAGATATTGCTTTTAGTAACACATACATATTGTTCAGAATGGAAAGAGGGTCTTTCAAAGTAGTATTTGTGCAAGTGCAGGCAAAACCAAAACAGGCTTCTCTCAAAAAAGGTGCCAAATTGTCTCTGCTCAAAGATTCCTTTCCACCTCCCCTTATTCCAGACCTCATTAAAGGTGCAAGGCCAACATAACAAGACAGCATTTCAAGCAGTTCTAGAGAGTTAGGCTTGAAATTATTCCAAATAGAAATAAATGGTCAGGACTAGGACTAACATTTGTCTACTAGGCACCTAATAGTAGCTGACAGACATAATAAAGAATAAAGAGTTGCATAACAATATAGCAGGTATTTAAAAATGTCATACTCTTCTCCTTGGCTATTGAAAATGGATTTGATTATCTTTCTTGGTCTCTGAAAATGTATTTCCAAATAGATGGGAGGTTTCAAGAGAGTATATATGTGGACATATATTTATATATACATTTATATCTATGCATAGAGACCCTTTATACAAACAAGGTTTTATGTGAATGCAGGATTTTGTGTCTACATAAGCCTTTGCTCATGGTTGAATTATTATAGGCCATCTTAAGTTAAGGATATTATTTATATCGTTAGAAAATTTACTTGAGAATTGTCAAGGCTGTGCTTACCGGGGAATTCAAAACATTTATGTATGTTAGAAGCAGGGGACTCATACGTTCTACGTTTAACAAGAGGCTTAACAAAGTTATATTCTGGCATGAGTAAACTCCTGAAGACTTTTTAAAAATATAGTGAAAAAGTAACATGAAATATTTACAATATGAATATCATAACCAAATTATTAGAACCACTACTTATGGTTGTTTTTTGCTTTAATAAAATGATGCATTTTTTAAAAGTGTTATCTAAAATCCTCTTGAGATTTGGAAATCAGCAGTTTCTTTTTTTAGTGTCATATTGAAAGTAATACCATGAATTGGGATGAAAATGCTTATTTTTTAAAGTTCTTGAGGAAGAAAAAGCCCATACACCACCAGTTATCCCAATCAGAGCTCTCAGGTATTGAAAAAAATGATACTTTTCATGTCTTTATGAAATCTATGAAAGTTTATTTTTCTCAAGTGATTGTTTCACGAAGTACTTGTCAACAAGGAGGAACTGAGCTCAAATAAACAACAATAATAATAATAATAGCAAACACTTATATGACTTTTATTATGTACCAAGGACTCTTGTAGGTGCTTTACATACATTAACTCATTTAATCCTAGCAAAAATCCCATGAGGCATAGTTCCTATTTTTATCTCCATTTTACAGATAAGGAAAATGAAACTTGCCCAAAGGTTAGATAGCTTCTCCCCGGAACAGAATATGGAAACTGTGAGAAATTAGGACTCAGACTTTTAGAAAGACCTTCCATGTAATTGGATGAATGATTTGTCTCTCTATGCCTATTTCAACTGTAGAAAATCATGATGTCTTCTATAAAAATCACATTTATGAAACATGCAACGTGTTTGCTAAGCAACAAAAAGGAAATATGTAGTATTTCCAGTCCTTTTAAAGCCTTGCAGTATTGGAGATCACTGTTCTTCACTGATGGCATGATGTAGGACTTCTAAGAAAGTTTTGCAGCCTTCTCATCACAACTCTCTCATCAGTAAAATATCAAATCCAAAAGTAGGTCTAGTTTAAGTGATAATAAGTTGTATACTTTTCTTAAAATTTGACCTTGTCTAGTCTATGATTGTGTTCGTTGGCAACAAAATTAGGTTACTCTGGAGACTTTTATTATTTTTCTTATTTTGCTCTAAGGTTAGCTCAGTTGTACTTTTGGAAGGATGGGTGAAGAGAAATTAGGCAAATACAAAGGTCTTTTTCTTTCTCCTATTTTTAAAGACCAATTTCGCGTTGTATCTTAGTGTACTAGGGTCTGGGTTGTGAGCCATTTACTTCACAATGAAAATTATGGCATTTATAGATCATAATTAGCTCTGAATTCTAGTCCGCCTAGAGAACTCAGCAAAGGGGTACATCCATTGGCTTGAGAGAAGGGGTTGGGAGAGCCACCTTGTGGCTGGAAGACGACCCAGCAGTCTCCAGGACTTGCTATGTTCAAAGGAGAAAGGAATGGAGATGAGGCTAGAAACCAGAGATAAATCAGAAATATCAATCACTAAATATTTGTGGGAAGTGGTAAGGGATATAAATAGAATCTATAACTACAATAACACTGAAGCTGTAGTTGTAAATATACATTATCCTCTTTAATATGACATAGAGTAGATTGAGAACTGAGAAATTATTAAGACCCCCACACCAAAAAAAGGAAGAAAGAAAACATTTAAGTTAAAATTATGTTCATTTTGTAATTCAATAAAGAAATCCCAGAGACATATTTTTAAATTTAATGTTGTTTTCTAAAGCACAGAAAAAGCCCCACAGACATCTGTTTGCATACATTGTGTGTCAGGCAACATCAGATCTGAATGGAATTTATCTAAATTTTATATGCATGGCTTGATGTAAATTGAAATAAATTGTACAGCATACTCTGCGTGGACATATTGGTTTTTCCATCGCTGCTTGAACTTTTAACCCCAGGGCCTGAGCCGGTCACACGTTGACCTGTCTGAACTCTGCTGGTAGATCCAAGTGTGGAAGGCTGACCTTGCATCCATGGCAACCATAAAGTAGGGTCCATGACTCTTCTCTCCCTTTCTCTCTCCTTTCTCCACACTCCAAACAAAACAAAACAAAACAAAACAAATTAGTATATTCTCGCACAGTCAGTCAGTGTAATCTTGGAATAGTTTTGCCAAAATGCATTTTGCCCCTAACCTAAGCTCTAAGCAAAGCTTTTTCAGCTTGCTTGTCAGATGTTAATGAAACTTTGAAATGAAAGCCTTTATGAAAGTTAATGGAAAAGACCCCTTCCTGGGACACATTCAGTTTGCTTGTCTACTATTATAATAAAATATACTTCACATACTCATATATTAAGTAATGTTGCTATAGGTGTGTTAGACATGCAGATGAAAATTATGCTTGTCTGGGAATTCAACATAATCCTTTGTGGGTGGATTAAAAAAATACCTACATAAGGTTTTACCACTACCTACAAAATCCACATCAGATCTAATGTTTTCCAGTGTCATGGAATGATGTATCTGAAAGGAGTAATAAGCATTAGGGATCTGGAGTTGATTTCTCTATTATAGGTTGTAGTCTCCATTTTAATTAAGGTGCTTTTATACTTTTGGTTTAATTTAGATGATCTTTAAATTCATGTAACAAAAATTATCACTTTCACAATCTTGATGGTAGTCTAAAGGTGTTATTGATTCATTCTTAAATTGAAATTCTGTTCATAGGATGTATTTGTGGTTCTTCATTTATTAATGTAAGAAGCATTTGTTGAATACTTATTATGGTAAATAACTTCTACCAAGTACTATGGGTGATTTTTTTTTTAAAGGTGTATACCTGCTTATAAGGAATTATAGTTTTGTTGCAAGATAGGTTATATTACTCAGAAAGAGAAAAACTAGAGAACAATTAGACAGCAGTGACAAATTCATAATTGTTTAAAATTGTGTACCAACTAACAAGGAAATGTGGTGTAATGGAGTGACCAACTGGGAGTGGATTCAATGAAGTAAGACCTCTTATGAACAAAGCCTTGAAAAAGGTGGTTGTCCAGGACGACTAAGTAGACATTCTAGGTGTGGGAGGTTTCATAGAATAAGCAAAATCTGGGGTTGTGTTGGTAATGTAGAATAGTTAATAAAGAAAAAAACATAACCAGAGAAAATGGGATATGTTACACTGGGAATAACAAGTATCTTTGAATGCTTATGGACTAATCTGCCATCTTTTCAGATCCTGGGGTCTCTATATATACTTCAGTTATTTGTTTCTGAAAGTTTCGCAACAACAAAAATTTTTAACACATTTGTCAGGTTTGAGCTATAGAGGCCTCTATTATCCTTTTTTAGAAAGAATGAAGAAAATTTTAACTTCTAGAAGCTTTATGTATAAACCTGAAAATCTCAAATGTTCCACAACTTGTCTTTGGGCAACTACAGGTAACAGGATTGATAGGAGAAGAGTCTGATGAAACTAAAGTTTTCATTTAGAGTGCCCATAAGGTAGTTTAAAAACAGCAACAAAAACACCACAAGAATATTTTTTTTGGTCAGGCCATATTGAAAATAAAAAAGGCAATATAATGTAAGCAAGAATCAGGAAATTCTCCCAGTGTGCCCTTAGCAAATTCTATGAACTTGTGAAGTTACTTTATCTCTGTGGGCCAGAGGTTCCTCATTTGTAATAATAAAAATATCTCACATATACTGAATCCTTACTTTATAGCAGGCACTAGTGTTCTAAACACTTTAATTTAATTCTCACAACAACCCTATCAGATTATTGTTCCCAGTTTACAGAACTGGGAACTCAGGGACAGGAAACTGAGGCACTCCCATCTTTTCCGGGATCACATCCAGCTAATCTAGCTTTAGACTTTATGTCCTTCAGCCACTATACCAGAGGTCAGTAAACATTTTCTATAAAAGGCCAGATAGTAAGTATTTTAGGCTTTGTGATCCATACAGTCTCAAGAGCAGCAAATGTGCAAATATATCATAGTGTGCAAGTGGCCTTAGACAATATGTAGATGGATGATTGTGGCTGTGTTCCATTATTATAGGCCAGGTGCAGTGGCTCACACCTGTCATTCCAGCACTTTGGGAGGCCAAGGTGGGAGGATCACTTGAGTACAGGGGATTGAGGCTGCATTGAGCCATGATTGTACCACTGCATTCCAGCAGCCTGGTCAATAAAGTGAGACCCTGTCTCTTTAAAAATAAATAAATAACAACAACAACAACAAAATTGACACTGAAACTTGAATTCCATATAATTTTCACATGTACAAAATATTATTTTTCTCTAACCATTTAGAAATATAAAAACCATTTTAAGCTTCTAAGACCTACAAAAAATGGTGTGGGTCAGATTTTGCCCAAGTCATAGTTTGACAACCCCTGCACTATACTATATTGCCTCTCAATATACAGAATAAGGAGTTGAACCTGATGGTCTCTAGTTCATTACTACTATTAAAGAAACAAAAATTTCCCAGTCAGAATGGATTTTATTAAAAAGACAAAAGATAACAGATATTGGTGTGAATGAGGAGTAAAGGGAACTGTTTTTGTTAAATAAATTTAATTCAATGACTTCCTAGCTCCAATGGTAGGGTTACCACTTTGAATTCAATACTATGTAACTAAAGAATTGAAACCTGTCTTGGAAAATAAGACTTCCCATAAATTGTCTTTGGAAAACAAAGACTACATCTAAAATGTCTCAGAAAGATGAACAATTACTTCTGTTTAGTTGATATTTTGAGAAAGATGTTTCATTATATCTTTTAAAAAGCCACTTTATGTTAATGGCTGTTCCTATCAGGTTGTGTTCCTCATGTTTAGTCTGAGTCTTTCATGATGCAGCAGAAGCTCATTAGCTCTAATTTCTAGAAGTGGAGATGAGCTTGCCTCTGTCTTCTACACAATTCTACAGTAACTTCTATAACTTCTACATCACCTCCTGCAGCTGAAGATAAGAATTTCCCATCATTCTCCCACACTTTTATTCTTTGCTTATCTACATTGCTTTCTGTTCTTCCAGCTATTATTGTAACTTTCAAAGGAATCTACTCCAAAATGTGTTTATCCTCTTGTATGATAGAACCAGGAATTAGACAGGTTAGAGACTTCCTTTCCTTATCTGTATTTAAAAGTTGGATTTCCCAAAAATGCATATACAAAAATGTCTATAAGTATCATTATTACATAAAATAAGTGTTTTTATAGGGGTCCATATGCTTAATTTATAGTTACTTTAGTTGTATAATACTTTGGTATTACATTAGATGTAGCAAATCATCTCTTCTTTTAAAATCAAGTAATATAGCTGATTGTGAATTTAAGACTCTTCATTTTTTCTTTTAGCTTTAAAACTCACAACCATTCCCAAGTTTACTTCTGTTTCCTTAGTATCTATTGAGGTGATGTGATAAAAACAAAATATAAAATCTCATGCATATTATGATGTTTCTGTGTATAATCCCCAGTTATAACCTTAGCATTCATACTCCTGAATAGTCTAGTGAACTGTGTGCCTTAGGGTTTCCCAAACATTGACAATTTATTTCATAGATAGCAAGAAAATATTCCCTTATTATTTAGCAACCTTCTATGTGCCTAGGTATGATAAATTCAGAGGACCATATTTCATCTTGGAAATGCCCATCGGAGTCAAATTTTTGAAGGCTTTTCTCCAAGCCTGTGTATTCTACAGATATTCTGTCAGAAAACTAATATTTTGTACATATATAGTTTTCTGACATAAGATGGTTCTATAGCCACAAAAATTGAGGAGCATGAAGGAAAGCAGTCCCTTTAAAGTCCACCTCCTTTATGTGTGTTCAATATGGTCTTAGCATACTTACTCAACAACTTTGGTCACAGAGCTGTAGTGAGACCAGGTGAATAAACTGCTTTTTAAGAGTAAAATGCTCATCTATTTATGCTTCCAAGACTACTGAGTAATATTTGATGAATTACATAGGCATTAAGGTAAAAGACTATTCACAGTTTATTTGAAGTAGTTGAGATGAGAAGTGATTTGAACAAGAATATCTAGGGAGAGAGAGCCTTCAAAAGAGAAAACCATACTGTGACCAGGAGACCCCCTTCCCTACCACAGTATCACAGGACAGTGGCCTTGGAATGCTCATCACCTGGTAACGTCTTAGCGTAACCAAAAAGCACATTTAAAGTTGCTTGTGAAGTAAGACTCTAATATTTCTTTGGCCAAGTTTGCTGCCTTTAAAGACCTTTATTTTGAGAACAATCTGTTCAGTGACTAAGCTAATCTATATGTTTTTGTCTTGTTTTTTCACTTTGTACTTATTTATGTATTATTTTTGTAGCATTTCAGTGATCTTTAAAAACTTAAATTTTAACTTCTAAATTTGAGCAATTCTATATTTTAAGATAAAGTTTAAAATATATAATTACCCAAAACACAGCTCACTATTTTAAAATTATTACTCCCTGTGATTTGACTTCTTCAAATCACTACCAGTCTTATATGGAAATTCCGTTTTTACAAATAATCTGTATCCCTCGCTGGACTCTGGCTTTTTGCAGCCCTAGCACAATGCTTGTCACCAGGTAAGTGCTCCCAGAGTGTTTGTTGACCTAAACAGTTGAACCGAACAGTGACAAAGAGGGTGGATTTTAATTGAGCATTAGAATGCACCACAGAAACTCATGGATTCTTTGTATTTTTGGTGGTTAGGCCCATTCTAAAGGAATGCTACAAATAAACAACTATAATATACCAGTATTGACTTCTTTGGTCATTTCACTTTGCTTGCAATAAGGTGGACAGCAAGGTAGGGTAGAGAATTGAAAGAGTAACTTCAGCATATACACATGTGAAAGAAGTTGAGTGGCACTTCAGCTGCTCCTCACCACTCTTAAAGGTTTTCCATGAAATGGAGGGGAGAAGGAACCTTCCCTTCCTGTTAGTGAAATTCCATAGCAATATAAGACACCCAAAGGTAACATAGTAGTACAAAAGTCCCTACATCTCATTGATTGTCTTTAAGTGTTTGGATTTGAAGTAAGAATATGTGATCTTCTACCCTCTGCAGAAAAAAAAAA